TTACATAGTCTAGATATAAATGTTCTGTTTGATACACTATTTACAAATATTTTCTTACTAGCCTGTAACCTGTATTTTTATTTCTGGAATTGTCTTTTGAAGGACAAAAGCTTTAAATTTTGTTAAGCTAGAAAGAAAGAAAAATACCAGATGGTTTCACTCATAGCAGGAGCATAATAAGGGATCAGAAGCAAAAAAAAAGGGGAGAGACAAACAAATGTAATAGAGTAAAAATGAAAACAATGAACAACTATATATAAAGCAGAGACATTTTATGGGGGCCCAAGGGGGAATGGGATCAGAACTGGGGTGGGAAGAGTGCACTGGGCTGTGGTGATGGCACACAGGTGAACTGGTGGTGGGAAGCCCAGGGGGATTACAACTGAGATGAAAAAATGCACAAAATGAAGAATGATGTCAAAAAATTTTAAAAAGCTTTAAATTTCATATAGGCATCATTTATTGGTTTTCTTCCTTTTGATGATTTTTCCTAACCTACTTAAGATAAACTGATAAAACCAGCATCACTAAGATTTAAAATTTTTTTTCTATAAATTTTTAGTTTTACTCTTACATCTTACATTTAGGTCTCTGATATAGTTCTAGCTAATTTATTTTTTTAAGATTTATTTATTTGTGCACACAGGAATTGGGGTACTACTTCCAGATCTTTTACTCTTTTTTCAATGAACTATCTGTCCACTCTGACATCAAACTGAGCTGATTACAGCTGCTTAGTAATAAATCTTGAAACTGACATCAGTGAAGCCAGTAATGCCTTCAATTTTGGTGATTCTATGACCTACACATTTTCATATAAATTTAAAAGTCAGCTTGTTAATTCCTACCTCCAAAAAAGGTCTGAGGAATTTTGATTAAGATTACATTAATCAACTAGCGGCTAATGTTAAAAATATTTAGTTTTCCAATCCATGAACATGTGTCCTCTATTTAGTTTTCTTTGTTTGAGCAGCGTGGTACCGTGTCATAAGGAGTCTACAGATAAGAATGTAGTCATCTAATGTAAGAAATTTAGAAAGACAATAGTAGCCATAGTTTAGAATTGGGAGATAAAGTTAGTTGTGGACAGAATAGTATGTATTTTTTAATTTATGGCTTTTTTAAAAAAAATAGATATAAATAAAAATAAGTTGTGCAAGGTGAAGGTGTGGAAGGTGTGTAATATATCAATTTGATATTTTTACATAATGCAGTTATTATCTCCATTGCAGTGTCAGCTGACACCTCTATTATGTCAATTATCACTTCATGTAAGAACAATGAGAATCTCCAGTCTTAGCAACTTTGAAGTTTAATAACACATTCAGCACTGTTGTAACACAATCACAATGTTGATTGGTTATCCAGAACTTAGTCGTCTTGTAACTGTAAATCTGTACCATTTGGCCAACATCTTCATTTTATTTGGCCAACATCACTAATCAATTTATTTACTTTTCTTATTGTTTTATGATCTGAAGGATCTGTGATGATGCCACTTTTATTCCTGCTACTGACAATGTGAATCTTCTTTTTCTATCATTAATATCTATTTTATTTATATTCTCAAGAATTAACTTTGCTGAGACATCTAGAGGGGAGTGGGAGAAGCGATGTGGAAAGGAGAACACAATGGTGGAGGACTATGGGTACTTTGGTGTTAAGACAGCTTTGGTGGCCACACCTGAGGGGAGAACTCCTATACTGTTAAAATATTAAGAAGGATATAAAACAATGTTACTCATTAAAAACAACCAAAATTGTCTTTTGGTTCAATGGTTTTATATTTATTACTTTTTATTTTTGCTTCCTTTAGGTTTAATTTCCTCTCACTTTTCTAGCTTTACTCTTAAAATGAAATCTGTGGAATTAACTTGAATCTTTAATGATAGCTCTCCAAGTAGTACTGCTTTAACTGTAGCCCACAGCTTTCTAAAGGTTACAGAAATAGCAATACACTGCTGAAGGGAGCAGTGGGTGGGTCAGGCCACACCAGGTGGGTCACCTCCCTGGCCAGGGATTGAACTTGTGCTGCAGTGGCTGTAGACAGCTTCATAGTGCTGCACTTTAACACACTGCACCACCAGGGGGTGGGGGTGGGGCCCTCTGAATTCTCTTTTGAACTACTGTAGTATCTTACTGGTTCCTTCATTAGTGAGAAAAATTTACAGCTATGACATGTGTTTATTATCAAAGGAAAGTCATATTTTATCTTTCTAGAAACAGATCTATTAACACTATTTGAAAATACTAAACAATGAATAAACTGTGTGTAGTACTTTATTCATTTTGTTACCACTGTCTACTAAATAAGTGAAAAGTTCCCATATTCTTAGAGACGTTTGCAGAAACCATGGCCAATAACTCTTTCCCTATCTATTATAATCTTAATTGCAAAGTAACAAGATAGTCACTGGAGATTCTGTTCCCTAGAGGTATTAAAGACTGACAAAGCATTATGACAGGTCCCTCCCTGGGGCACAACAGCTTAAAGCACAGCATTATGAAGCTGCCCACAGCTGCTTCAGCATGAGTTAGATCCCTAGCCAGGGATGTAACCAACAAGGCGCTGCAGACCTCTCCTGTTCTGCCCCCTCAGCAGTGTACTTCGTCAGTCTGGTGTTTTGCTCTCTACTCTGTCTCTGGTGAATCATCTCACCACTTGCACCTCTGGCCTATACCCCAGTAAAGTATAAATAAATAAATAAATAAATCTTAAAAAAAAAAAAAACACACTAGGATAATAGGTAAGCTTAAAAATTCTAATGTGCTATCTACTAAACAACATTAAAAGTGCTTTAGGACTTTTTAGTAGAGATATATCTCAACAATCTTAGTATTACTCATTATAATTAATCATATAATACACTTTAAGTCATGACAGGGGAAAATGTTTTTCTGAATTCAGCATATTTCTAATGCCAAGTATTTAAAACAATATGAATAATATTTATCAGCAATCTATTCTTTAAATAAATCATTTAGTTTTATTTTAAATTATTTTTTAAAAAACATTTATTTACCTGGAGTACAGGCCAGAGGTGCAGGGGTAGTGAGAGGATTGAGACAGAGTGGGGAGCATAACAGGCAGATTATTGAAGTACACTGTTAAGGGGAGCAGTGGGTGAGACAGGAGAGGTCTGTTGCACCATATGGATCACCTCCAGGGTCAGGGATTGAACTTACACTGAAGCGGCTGTGGCCAGCTTGCAGTGCTGCATCCTAACCCACTGTGCCACCATGGAGGGCCCTTATTTTAAATTTCTAATCAGATAAAACGTTCAGATTATCATCAAAGTACATTTTCCAACAAACCTATTTCAAATAATGAGAATTTCCAACAATGCTTACTATTTTATGCAAAAACCAAAACAAATATTTAGGATTTCTGAAATTTTGTAACTTAAAGTTTAACTTAACATTTAAACAAGCATTCATGATAAGCAATCACATAAGATTGCTTAAAGACCAAGATAGTTGGTCTTTAGAGAAAAAAGAAAGAGAACACTTACTGATTATCAATTACAAGCAGTGAAACTGAAACTAATCAAAACTCTCTCCAAAAACAAAAATCCAGGACCAGACAGATTCACAAATCAATTCTACCAAATGTTCAGAAATGGACTACTGCCTACCCTACACAAACTCTTTTAAAAAAATTGAGAAGGAATACTACCAAGCCAACATTACACTAATACTAAAACTGACCAGGACAACACAAAGAAGGAAAACTACAGTAGGCCAATCTCTAAAGAACATTGATGCAAGAATCCTCAAATAAAATCCTAGCCAACAGAATCCAACAATGTATAAAAGGGATAATACACCATGATCAAGTGGGATTTATTCTAGGGACACAGGATGGTTCAACATACAAAAATCAATTAATGTTATCTAACACATCAACAAAAAGAAAAATAAAAAAACATGCTCATATAAATAGATGCTAAGAAAGCATTCAACAAAGTTCAATATCCTTTTATGATAAAAGCCCCTGAAATTCTTAGGATAGAAGGAACATATTCTAACATGACCACAGCAAACTAAAAACCTTCTGTACAGCAAAAGAGACATTAACCAAATCAAAGAGATACTCTACTGATTGGGACATTTCTCCCAGACTCATTAAAAATATCTACAAAGAGCTCACAGGACTCAACAAATACAGATAAGCAGTCCAGTCAAAAAATGGGCGGGAGAGCTAGAAAGACCATTCTCCAAGAAGAAATGCAAATGGCCAACAGGAATGAAAAAAATGTTCAACATCACTTACAATCAGGGAACTGAAAAATCAAAGCCACAATGATACCAACTTGCACCAGTGAGAATTGAATTAAAAAAACAGGGAACAACAAATGTTGATTAGGATGTGGAAAAAAAGGAACTCTTTTACATTACTGGTGGGAATGCTAAAAGGTCTAACCACTATGCAAAGCTGTGTGGAAGTTCCTCAAACCACTAAAAATGGAGCTACCACATGACCCAGCAATTGCAGTTCTAGGAATCCATCCAAAGGACACAAAAACATTAATTTGAAAGGATACACAATGGAGTATCACCCAGCAGTCAAAAAAGACAAAATTCATGCCATTCACAGCAACATGGATGGACTGGAAGGGATTATATTCAGTAAAATAAGCCAGAAAGAAAAAAAATACTGGATCGTTTCACTTATAGGAAAATGTAAGGGAACAAAATATGGAATCAGGAAAAAAAAATTGCAATAAATTAAAAAAAAAAAACCCAAATGATAGGCAACTATCAATCAGAGACACTTTTTAAGGGAGGGCAAGGGAAGAGGGATCAAATGGGAGGGAGGAGCATAAGACTATGTGATGGTGCATGGGTGAACTGGTACTGGGAATTTCACAGGGACTACGCCTGAGAGGAAAAGGCATACATTATACAAAAAGGAAGACTGATGTAAAAAAAATATATATATATAAAAAAAACCTACTCTTTATCATTAACACACAAAAATTTTAAATTAGCCTTTTTACCTTTTATTTCCAATAAGCATAATGACCATGTTGGAATTAGAATGCTGGCGGGCATCTTCTAACCAAGTTGTCAAGTGGTTGAATGTATCTCTCCTAAACATAAAACAATTTGATTACTATTTTATAATTATTTCCCCTAGTAATATATGCTGAACAGTATACATGCCACTAAAATAACTATTTTTAGGCATATTCTTTTGTGTCATAAAAAAACAGATTTTATATGACAGGTAGCTAAATTTAAAGTTTACTAATTATAGTATAGGTTAGAAATTAAATGTAATCATCTTACCTTAAAAATTCTAATGCTTAAGTAATAATTAACAAAAACTGTTCAACTTGGCAGTAGTATAGTAACTTTAAATTACTGTAGCAAATTTAATTCAAGACACAAGTTTAAAGGGGAAATAGTTATAGTATAAATGCAAACTTATACTTATTACTGGTAGCCATATTTATATATAAAAAACTTCTCTGCAAAGACCACTGAACTGAAAAAAAATCAAAGTTCTCACCTTGTAATATCATATACTAGTAAAGCCCCTGCTGCACCTCTGTAGTAAGACCTTGTAATGGATCGAAAGGACTCCTGTCCAGCCTGTGAGGAGAGAAAAGGTTAGGAGTTTCCTTTAATAAATGGTTCTATATGTTTTCTTATTATTCATATATAGAACAGAAGCTGGTAGGGAAGATATGCATAAAGGAAAAGAAAATCTAACTATACTGTCTTAATAACAAGTCACATAATACCACTGCTGCTCAAGTCAACCAGCCACATATGCAATCTTCTGAGCAGTCCCTCACTACCACCATCCACCACCCCCCTATTTCTAAACCTTTTTTGGCAATCCCTGACAACCCAATTTACTGAATGGCTTCACAATACATGAATCATTATTAGAACACAGAATGGACTCCTAGCAACTAAGCTCTGAAGACAAATTTGAAAGGAAGCAAATAACCCAGAGCCTCACATTTGAATTCAATAACCCCACTCCCTGGGGCAGCTGTTGACACTAGAATAAATAAAGCCCATTGTAAATAAATGATGAATGACATCTTTACGCCCACCATCTGCTGGTGTAAAGGTTGTTGGAAGGCCAAGGATGCAGATTTTATCAGTTATATCATAAACTGCAGTGAGCTTTCAACAGTCATCAGTTGGAATTCTCTGAGCAATCATTTTATTATGAAAAACAGAAAGTAGTTCTGAATTCAATTTATATAATTTTTTCTACACACTTAATCAATTTTCTCTATTTGATATATAGTGCTTGTCAAAAGGCAACAGGATGTAAAAGTCATCTTTATAGTTACTTATGAAAACAGACTTTAGAGGCTGTGAAAAATTAGTTAATTTCTTTTTTACTGAGTGACACTTTTTTTAAAAAGAAAAGCAGAGGGACATATCTATTGCCTTTGAGTTTAAAAATGAGGAAACCCTTATCAGATGTATTCTTTCCTTTTTAATCCCTCTGTTTCTATGTCAGAGGGGGAAAAATGTGCATTTAAATTAAGTAAACATGAAATCAGGTCATAATTTTTGTATTAAACTCAGTAAATTTTGTATTCAATCTATTATTGAAAAATATTTCAGGCTGCAGGTCCTGAGTTCTGATCTTTCAATGTACATATTAATAAACCTTTCTCTCCTTTAGAATACATATTAATATGTAACTCTGGTTCTGCCTTGTTCTAACACTCAGTACTTCCTAAATCTTGTTTTTGTTGGTCCTCCAACTACACTTCCTTCCTTTTCCCCCAACCCTAGTGCCTAGCAATGGGTCTGACATACAAGCTAGCATGCAGAAACATGATGAACGAATTAGTGCATCCTAATGTCTCTATCAAATGTGCAAAATGGTCATTATTCTAGCCCCTCTTAAATGATAGGACAAATAAATCCTAATATGCTAAATGCAGAAAAAATTATTTTTCCTATGTGGAAACTAATAGGCTCCCTCTTGATTACTCACAAGAAATTCTGGCACTTGGAATTATGTCCTATGCTAAATATTCAGAAAACATCACATAACAGGCTATAAAAATAGCCAATTCATTATGTAAAAAAAAAAAAAAATACCAGTAGAAAGTATGAATTCACTTTAAGTTACTCTCATGTTACTTACTGAAGTATATGTTTCTAAAAAGTCCTTTCAAATCCAAATTAAAATGCAAATATTATTAGAACTTTTCTTTTAATTGCTTTAGCAAGGTAAACTTAAGAACAACAGTTTTAAGTAATTCATTTCATTGCGAGTTGTAAATACCAAGGAAATATTTTATGGTAAATTTAAAAAATTATTTTATTAGTTCAAAGTAAAATTCACTTTTAGAGCTCTGGTATCTCCCATAACTAAACACTTCAGCACAGGTAAAAGTTCTTGTTAGGAAATTCTGTGAGATGAATTAAAATGAATACCATGCTAAAAGAACATCACTAAAGGATCTAAAACTTCAATAGTCAAGAAACTCTTTGTAGTAAGAGATTCCCAAAAGTAGCTAAGGGCGTAAAGAAAATGTACTTAATGAAACTAGAATGACTGGCTAAGTGAAAAGCCCAGAAAAACACATGTAGGGTAACCAGAGTGATTATGAGCTTATTCAGCTCATAATATAGACCCTGATTTCTGTGAAAACTCAGCAAGATACCCAGATATACAAAAGCACAGAATATAGCAAGTTGGTTTCAAGAGATAAAATATGCTCATTTGTACTGGTGCTCAGGATTAAAATCAGTCAAAGAATACCTGTAACAAATTTACAATGTGAGGATTGCTGTCAGATAAACTTGAGAAAAGTTAACCTAAACTATTTAATTTTAGGTTCCTTAGGAAATCTCCTGTGTAAGCAAGGGTAAAGCCTGGGAAAAAAGAAACAAAGGTTGTATAGCTAGAAAGAACAGTAGGTATTGAAAGCTTTTAAAAATTTAAGCAGATTTACTTGAAAAAAAAAAAAAAAAGACTTAGGTAACGGTAACATCACTGATTTCAGATTCTTTCAAAACTATCATGTAAGAGAAAATGGAGTTACCACAGGTAAGAAGTTATTAGAGTAGTATGAAATGTCTGGGATAGTTTCCTGTTCCTGTAATTAAACAAACAAACAAACAAAACGACAAATAGCTGCTATGGAGGCAGCTTTCCGGAGTTTTTCAACTGCAAAGATTGGGGAATGCAAGTAGAGAGGACAGGCAAGGCAGTGGAAAGACTGTTTCCAGGCCTCTTCCCACACCCTACACCAAGTTTTCATGAATAACACCCCAAGGATCTATTGATATAAAAAAAAAAATTCTTTTTTTCTAGTAAAAAGTTGGGTATAAACTGACATTTTATGAAAGACCCCCAAAAAAGCCTATAATTTGCTGAGAAGATACAATCAGAATATAGGTTTTGTATGACTTTTTAATACAGTTTCACTTTTATTAAGTGGGAAGACCTATTAAGTCTAAAATAATTTTTTAGAAAAGTCGAGTAGATACATAGATTTAAGAAATCCACACTACAAATTTTGGAGAATATTTGGATATGTTCAGAAGACTACTAAAAAAGTGACAAAAATCAAAAGATGAGTGAGAGTTAGCATTTCCCTGGTGTTAAGTCTCAGCCATATCAGCGATGGCCACAGCAATGTCTAGAGTTCAGTACCCAGCCAGGGAGCTAATCCACATACGGCACAGCAGACCTCTCCTCTCTTGCCCACTGCAGTATCTTCCAGTAGACTGCCTGTTCTGTTCCCCACTGTCTCTGGTGAATGCTCTCACCTCCAGCACCTATGGCCTATACCTCAGCTCTTCTAGGCAAAAATAAGTAAAATCTTAAAAAGAAAAATAGAAGAAGATGACTAAGAGTACAAACAAGGTGGGTAAGGGCTGCACAAAGGTCCAAGTGTCACTAACTTTAATTTCTTTGACTTATCCTGAAAAAGAGACGAAGTAAATCACTTTTGACTGTGATAAAAAAAAAAAAAATTACACAGGGCTAATAGAAAGTTCCTTAAGGGGTCTACTGATATGCCACTATCACTGCCTTCAGCAAGGCTAGATGATCACTGGCAGCCATACTAATTCAAGGAAAGGAAAGATAGAGGTTGTTGAAGCCCCCCTCTGTTTTTTTTTTTTATTTTGGTGAATGGGATTGGATATATAATGGATAACCAATATTCTAAAATACTGAGATTTAGATATTGGGGAAAAATTTATTAATTTAAGGCTGATGAAACAACCATAACATTAGGACCATAGAATGATTTTATAAATGTGCTGGATATGAACTTTACTTCTAAAAGTATATCTTGCTATCCAAATATAGAGACATCACAAAATATTAATATGAAAAACCACATATATCTATAAAATACATCAAGATATAAACTGTGAACCAACCTTAATGTGTGCCTAATGTCTATTAATGAGTTTTAGAGTATTAATTAGAAAACCAGAAATAATACAAGAAAAACCTATAAGGCCTCAGAGACACAAGAAACAACTTGCAAAAGTAGTTGCCAGAGTTTTTAAAACATTCTTTAATTTCTAGCACCCTTCAATTGAAGTCCTGTAATTCTGCTTGGGATGTTATGACATCTTCAAAAGTACCAAAGCGTCTCCACTTCAGAAAAAGAAAAAAAAAAAAATGGCCATCTGCCCTTCCAGAAGAGGTGTGAATTAATTTGCTATTTCCTGTTCATACGGTCCAGTATAATTACTATAGATTATTGTCAAAAGATAGATTACTGAAGAAACATAAACTCAAAAACCTAGACAAGAAAAGAGGACCCTATAAGAAACTATGACTAGCTAGCCTACCAAAGAAACAAATGGAAAATGAAGTTAAGTTTCAAAAAGTCTATACCTAAAATGTAACATAATTGTCATTATTATATTAATCTTCCCTTTGGAAACTACATACTTTAGTAGGTATCTCTTGAACACATTCAATGATCCTTCAAGTTGCTTAGGCACAACGAGCAGCCAAATTCAATAACTCCAAAAAATTTATCAATAAACACTGTATAGGCTACTAAAGAAAGAATAGAGGATATAAAGGTGAATATGATAAAGATGATCCTTCCCTTCAAGATGTTTATTCTAGGGAGGACAAAATGTGAACAAAACCAAAACAAAACAATGGATCAGAGCTATAATAGAAATATGCATGAAATATCATGATGAGAATCATGGCCATCCCATGGAGGCCAGACAGGATCCATAGAGTTGACATCTGAGGTGGTCTTAAATGGAAAATGGGAAAAGCACTTTGAGCAAAGCAATTATGTACTCCAAGTACAAGATCTGAAAAACACATTACTGAAGAAAAAGCAGGTACTGAATCCCACTACACTACACTGAAGGATGTGTACTGCACACGATTATTAGGTAATAAAGCAACCTAGTTCACATAAAGCAAACATTCTAAAAAAGAAACTGTCTTTTGTTTGGCAGTTATTAATTTTAAATCTTTAGGTAAATATGACTTCACATGCCGTCCCTCTACCCACCCCGCTAGCTGCACAGCATTGAAATCACGTTGCCTGGGAGAATAAAAATTTAAAAAGGAGTGAGATCTTACGGGAAATAGTAAAAGTATAAATCTTCACTGAAAAGTGGATGCAAGAAAGCAGAAGCGCCTACAGTCCAGCATGTAACCTGGGACAGAGCAAGATAAAGTGCAGTTTTCCACTTCAGGGATGACTGATTTGTCATAAGCATCAGCAAAACTAGGTCTCACAACACCCTTTAGTAACTTACTTTATTTTCTTGGGAACAAAGTCTGTAGACTAAGTATTTTAAGGTTCCCTTCCTCCAATATCCATTATAGGTGAGAGAGAAGAATTTTATGACCAGAGGGAAAAATACCAATAGTGTATGATACAATTCCTCATATTTTGTATTTCATTTACTGGTTCAGAAAATATGCTCTTTTGTCATAATAGGAGACCTTTAAGTTTTTTCTCAACTAGGGTTCCATGAAGAATTAAGTCCTAATTGCCCTAGGCAATAGTTTTCAAATTGTGATCCCAGGAGTCCTGGGAGTCTCTAAGACTCTTCAAGGTCCTGTAAGGGTTCCACATTTCCCAACCAGCTATTTTTGTGTGAGTCTGTATTTTCTTCCTACACATTATCACAGATTACTAAATTCAGAGGCAGCTATCTTCTATTAAGATGATAGTAGAGGGATTTTTCAAATTGCAATAAAATGAAACTCTTTACTAGAAAAAGCTTTTGTTTCATAACACACAATTTCTACAAAAATTCTATTTTCTATTCTAATATGGTTATTTTTAAGTGAACAGCAAAATATTTAACACATTTCTCAGTTTTAATTCTAATATGCCAGGTATTATAGCAATAAGACACCTAAGCAATGGTTCCTTGGGGTCCTCACTAATTTTTAAAAGCAGAAGGACATAGTAAGACAAAAAAGATTTGAGAACCACAATCCATTATAAATAATAAATTCTTTCTTATGCATCCAAGTTGTGAAAATAGAATCATGTCCGGTGGTTCAGATGAGAAATTGTCATTAAAACTACAGTATGATATATAACAAACATTCATTGAACAAAGCGTAGGTGACAGAATTAGGACTAGGAACAAAGTGACTACAAGTATTTGGGACCAAATCAAACCTATAAAATGAATCAATAAACATTCAGGCTATGTGTTTTTGGTAAAGTGATTAATATTTGACTTATGTGTACATGAGATATGCTGTTTTTCTTAAAAACATTGTTCTAAGAAGCACTTCAACTTAGACCACATAGCCTACACATTCAATCCAGTATGTTCACCAACATCCAAAACCTGTGGTGTACCTGTTGAAAACTGTGTAAGAAAAACAAATCTTTTCTGGAACATTTCATCCCATGACTGTAGGGAGGAGTTTATATTAGGGGTATAAGCCATAACAGGCATAAAATACATTAAAGTAAAACAAACATGCAATGTGCGTTTATAAAAACAACTTTATTGAGGTAATACAATGTACTTTTGTTATACTTACTGTATCCCATATCTGAAGTTTTATCTGTTTCCCATCAATAGTTATCATTCGAGCACCAAACTCTACACCTGTATAAAGCAGAAAATGATTTGTTACACCATTATAGGAATATATTTACATTTAAGGACTTGGAAGGATATCCATTTCCAAGACAAACTAACCCAGCAGATATACAGATGAACTTTATTGAAACAGCTCCTATCCTTAAAAAGGGTATAAGCCTAGGTAGAGGTGCTACTAAGACATAAAGTAAGAACACAATCAAACACTGAGATATTTGAGTCTGGCATTGTAAAGAATCCATTAAAGGCCTTCGTGTTTCACAGGCTTAGTAATAGGAAAAATAAAAAGAAATTCAAGAACCATAATTAAAAATAACAAATAGTAAAGTTTCTTACAAATCATAAATGTTATAAAAATCACAAAAAAGTAAACATGATTTTCAACATATCTTGGTTCCCAGAATAATTATCAAATAAGAAAGAAATCTCGTCTCCAGACATAGTTCTATGAATAATACACACAGAAAGAAGTAAATCTAAAAGTTTATATAAGTGGGAACTTTTAAATGCTGTTCTAAAATTTGCTTCCAGTGAGTAATGTGATGGACATTATTCCATATCACAAACATCTTTGGAAATCAATCAGCAAGAAAAAAACCCACACATTTCTGACGGCTGCAAAATGACTGGGGTGGGGTGTATGTGCACACATGCTCACACTTACTAAACTGGTCCTATACTGCTGCAAATTTAAGTTGTTCCCAAATATTCACTAGTTAATGCTGAGATAAATTTTCTGAATATATTCTAACATGTGATTATGTTGCTTTGGAAACAGGATTGCAGGTGAAAGGGAACACAAACTTTATACTTGTAAGTAAACTTATAAGTTTACCATCTTGGTAAACTTACCATTTACCATTTCTTTTAGTATTCAGTCAACAAAATAGGAGAAAACAGGGATGATTCCACAACAGCAAATAGCTTTGAAGAAGAGAGAAGTATATTGCTTTATATCAAGCCATTACTGACTGGAATGTGTTCTAGCAATATTTAGATCAGGATTATGGTAGAGGGAAGACACACAAAGTCCCCAAAAGCCAGATGTCAATTCTGGCAGAAAAACAGCTTCCAGTTGCCTTGGGAAGGGCATGCAGCCCAGTGTCTGAATTCCATTTCAGCATCCAAATGTGATTAGGAGGTGAGCTAGAAAGGCAGTTTGTTTTCCCATGATATCTGACTTGGAATTTTCAAATCTCCATTTTAATACTTATTCCATCGGTAGAGTCAAAGCCAAGAAGCATAACGCTTCTCAGACATAGGAAAGCAAGAGAAAAGACCAGGAATTACTATGTACTAGAATGAAAATGCAAAATTGTAAAATTATGTCATTTAAAACCATTACAGTGTTTGTATCTCTTTACAGATCTACCTCCTTACATGTGTGTATACCATGGGGAAAAGAAGGGGGACTCACAAAATAGCCATACAAGAGTTTATCATTAATGACATGAAAATGAGAGTAGCTGTGGGAGAAACTAGTGACTAAGTATGGTACATAGTACGCTCACTGCAACAACCAGCACTTAAAAGGAAGTACTAAAGTACAAAATTCTATATCAGTAAGATAGTGGACGTTTTTCCATGACCCTATTGCTTCTACGTGAAGACTAGAAAGAGAAAAATCTCACTTTCCCATTTATTGTCATGGATAGGTTTTTAACCATAATCCAAACACATGTGCATTGTCCACTGAGAATCAAGATTTCGTCAATGCATGATGTCAAATATGACAAAAAGCAACAACAAATTAGAAACAGAGCTTCGCTGATATGATGGCTGGGCAGGCAAAGCAAGCTAGGACAGATGCTTTTTCTGAAATTGGCATTTTGAACAGAAGAATAAAGATAATAAAATTGATTAGCGCTCATTCTAGCCTAGCAGATGAAAGGCTCAGACCACCACTGCTACAGGACTGTTGTTTCCTGACCTCTAAAATGGCTTTGTTCCTGTTCATTCACAACTCCCAGTCTCTACCCTTCTATGGGTTCTATATAAAGCTCTAGATATTTTAATATATTCCTTTTGTTTAATGTAGTAAGAATTGAAGTTTGGAATATTTATCTCTTTGTTCAAGGTAAGTAGATGGAGGCTGCTAAAACTAAGCCTTTTAAACACAGATTTCACCTTTGAAAATATATGCAATTAAAAAAATACTACATGAAAATTAGGATTATTTTCAAAGCAGGGATATAATAAGGTCAACAGTGTTTATTAATGGGGTCAAGATAAGAGAATTTAAAAAAGCTACTGTATTAACTAGAAATGAGGATAAAGGATGATGGGTAGGAAGAAAAGGGAAAACTGTCAAGTGCTATTACTGATAACTAAAAAAACTATGTATTGTTTTCTTATCACATGAAACAAAAAATCTTTCCCACTGGGTTCAATCCAGGTTTTACCCTTGTTCTATGTATGGCAAAAGAAAATACTGAAATCAGCAATGTCCTGGAAGGCTCCGAAACAAAATTAAAAATCTTTTTCTTTCAGATTGATACAATATATACACACACTTGAAAATTCAGCTTAGAAAGACTCCCATACCTTTTATTTTATGGGCTAAATCATTATTTCCTATGCCCTTGGGGCTCTCTTCCCAGAGCCTTTTTAAATTAATAGTCAGTATGGCTGCCAAACAGAGACGCCAAAGGCAAGGTCTGATTTACCTAACATTACCAGAGACTGATGCTTATTTTTTGTTCCTACTGGAACAAAATACTCTTAATACATATTTTCTAATCATCATTAAATTACGAGTATCTTTGTCCAGAAGCACTACATTACCACTTACACAACTGATGATGACAGTGTCTATGAGAAAAGGCCACCTGTCAGAACCAGGTGATCACGGAGGGGCAGAGGCAGAATGTGTCTCCTTCCTCAAGGTGGGGCCTTGTCATTTATAACCACACACATGAACCTGGAGTAGACTATGCTGAGGGAAGTAAGTCAGAGGAAAAAAGACAACCACCAGATGGATTCACTCAAATGAAATACAGAGAACAAAACAAAGTAGTAGACAAAACTAAACTAAATCCCAGAAATCTGACTGTACAAATGAGATCATCAGAAGGGGACGGTGGGCACAGAAACAAAGAAGGGGGGGGGTATCAAAGGAATATGCTGGAGGATTACTGGTGAGGCCTGTGACAGAAACAAGCATCTTAGGAGGTGTGAACTTATATATCCCTAAATCATCTGAGAAATACTGAATAAGCAGCTGAGTATGCATGTATGGGGAGAAGAGAGTACTAGTTGGAGTGGGTTCAAAAAACAATAGGTGGGAACAAATTTGACAGATAATATGTAAAAATTCCTTTTGCTTAAAAGAGAGTAAAAATGGAAGAGATAATTGAGTCATGGAAAATAATTAAACAGGGAAAAAGATACCTGGGAGGAAAATACAACTGTTGAAACCTTTTTCCAGAGTAGACCAAGTTTTATAGGCATTGTTGTTATGAGGAATGTACTAGGTGAAGTAAACCTGTGAAAATGACATTCTGGTTGCTTCTGTGTCTAAATGAAACAGAAACCAAAGCTATCATTTAAGAATGAAGACAGAAAAGCTGCTACAAGCTTAAAGAACAAGCAGGCATAATAAAGGTATGATGGAAAGCAGAAAGTGAAAGGTATTGAAATAGATTTAATTGTGGGGCAAACAGAAGTTAGTATGGAAGAATCAGTCCAAGAGTAACTGGAGAAAAGCGAGGCTGTGCAGAAATTTTCTCCATGTAAGTATGAAGTAGAAGTTAGATTTAATCTATGGGTTAATCACAAGATGATGATGAAGGGGACAAATAATGCAGAATTATAATGACATAATTATAGTGTTCATAATTAAGGTCAGATAACAAGGGAAGTAAGAATATGAGAGAGGTGAAAGTAAACACATGCTAGGATCATTGGGTTATAAAAGTGATGGGATAAATAAATCATTTTTGTTAGAACTTGAATCATTGTCAGCTAGAAGAATGGGAGGGATAATCAAATAGCCAAATACACAAAACTGAAAATCTGAAGTGGTTCCAGATATTGGTAGTAATGGTAAGGACAAGGTTGTGACTATTGGAGCAAACATTAAGGCAGAATGGAAGCAAGATCACAGGCAGAGCTAATAAAGGAACTGAAAGGTCAGGAAGGGATGTGGGATGTGTAGAACATATTTCCAGCTGGAGTAACCAATATTTAAAAATCACTGTCTCAATGAATTTCAAACTGCAGTACTCATATGGCTCACTTGGAGAGTCTGTTCAAATGAGAGAATCTGATTCAGAATATTGTTCAGCAAGCCCTCACCTGCTACTGATGCTGCTAACATGGTGCAACAGTCCTTGAACCATTCTTTGAAAAAGCAAGACAAATTTGGACCTTTAATGCAAATGTATCAAGGAAGCCATTTAAAAACCCACTACTTTGACTCATATCATAATTCCAATGAGCTGTAGTCAAAGGATAAAGAATATTTCAGTTTCTCCTCATCTTCTATGGGTTTTTTTTTCTTGCCTCTTTCTACAGCTTAACACTTCTTATGCCACTTTTAACTTTATAAACTTTCTTTCAGGGTTAAGCAAATATGCAGCAGAGAAATGATGCTGTCTTTTGTCTATTTTAGCAAGTATCTCATGTTCCTTTAAAAGGAATGTGCTATTAACTGCCTACATTGTTTCTATGTTTGAAAAATAAGTTGGTTTGATGGTCAGCAAAAGGTATAGCAGTCAGGGTCAAACCAGAAAAAAAAACTGACTTATTATTTAAAACAGGGAATTTAGAGTAGGGAAATGATTAAAGAAAGAGCTGAGTAGCCCAAAGCAACCCAGATATCAGCAACAGCAGGAAGTTGCTGCCATCTTTAAGTGAGGGTGGGGGAAAACAAGAGAAACCAAGGTTACTAGAACTTAAGAGCCAGATCAGCAGTGGGCCTTTAGGAAGCTGAGGCTAGAATCATGGAGACATAGCCCAGGCAGAGTGCAGAAAACCTTGGTTTCACTTTTCCTCTAGTCTCATATCTTGTGATGAATCCCATCAGTATATCCTATGGATGCCAGGTGGGATAGTTACATGAGTTATAGTTTTCCAACTCTTCTTTGGTGTACTTTCTTACCTCTCTCCACAAGTATAGCCTATGCCAATTTCTGACAGCAGGTTCAGGCCCATCTTCTTTCATCATGTATGCTATCACAACTTAAAATTTATGTAAAAGTTTCAATGAAAAGGGAAGACACTTTTGTTTAGTACTCTACACTAAAACAACTGGCTTGTTGTTTTGGGACAGAGGCACAAATATGTGATGGCTACCAAGGTTCAGATATATTGAACAAAGTGCAGATGTTATATAAAAATAGAATCTGAACATTCTTGCTGACAGTGGATACTAAGGAAAGAATTTCAATATATTCATAAAGTACATGTGATTTGATTTGCATGAAAATTATTAAAGTGATCTAGTAATTTTATCTATAAACTCTGATTTTTAATTTGGTTAATACACATTAATGCATACAAGAAGAGGGCTACAGGCTAGAGGTGCAGGGAGTGAGAAAATTCACCAGAGCAGAGGAGGAAGAAGAACAGGCAGATGTACTCAAATACACTGTTGAGGGGAGCAGTAGACACCACAGGAGAGGTCTGCTGCAATGTACCATGTGGGTCAGCCAGCTGGGGATCCCTGGCCAAGGACCAAGCTCATGTTGTAGTGCCTGGAGATAAGCTTGATAGCTCTGTCTTTAACCCGGTGCCACTAAGGAGACCTTGGAGGTCTCACTTCTTTCTACGCTATGTTGTCCCTGAATCATTTGTTACATCATTAAATACAAAGAATTTAATATTCTGCTTGTTAATATTAACTATATATTAATTTAATTAATTGTTAATGTAATATTAATGTCTGCTGCAGTTCAACCACTTTATAAACCTGGGTAATAACATTTTTACTACACATTAAAAAAGTGATGGAGACTAAATTTCATAAGGCAAAAAATCTAATATCACTGGTTTTCTCAACAGAAATTATACCATATTCCATTTCTATTATCTGAAACACTAAATGTTCATTTCTTTTGTAAAACTTACCAATAGTAAGGTCATGCACTGGTTGAAACCTCTTGTCTGTGAACTGTAGCAATAAGCATGATTTACCAACACCTGCAATTAAAAAAAAAATTCACAGACATGAACATACATTTTATAAATATACACGGAAGAGAGGTAAGCCAGGGTTTCTGGAGCTCTGAACAATCTACACGATTCTGCAAGTGCTCTAATTTATTGGGAAATCAGCAGACTAATGACTTAGGTAGAAGGTATTAACCAAAGTAACACAACTTGTTATCCTTTTTCAATATTTTAAAAAAAGATTTTACTTACTTATGCATACAGAACTGGACTACAAGACAGAGGTGCAGGGTGGTGAGAAGATTGACCAGAGACAGAGTGGGGAGCAGTACAGGCAGACAGACAAAGTAACACTGCTGAGGGGAGCAGTGGACAAGACAGGAGAGGTCTGCCACGCCATATGGATAACCTCCGGGGTTGAGGACAGAACTCACACCGAAGTGGCTGTGGCTAGCCTGCAGTGCTGCGTCCTAACCTGATGCACTACCAAGGAGGGCCAATATTCAATATTTTAATCTTAAAAAGTACATCACACTAAACGATAACAAGTCCTCCCAGTTAAATGTTCATGCTTTACTGATATTTACAGTAAATGTTTTATTGTAAAATTATTTACAGTAATATTTTACTGTTGTCAAATGTATAAAAATAGTTACTTCCTCTTTTTATAGTTTATAGTTCCTACAAGTGCTTTGGATCTACTTTTTGGGGAAAAGCTGTTTGTTCTATCTTCTGGCTAATTTACTTCAGGATCAACTCTAATATGAATTGTATTTACTTCCTCTACCACCAAATTTCCCTTCATTAAAGTCAGGAGAGCTACACTAAGCTACTGGATACTTTCTAGATGATAAAGTCGATGAGGACAATATCTCCTCATGTACTGACAGCAAGAAAGGCACTTAGTACTTTTGCTGAATGACTGGTCCTAGTGTCAAATGTTACAAAGACTGGCAATATATCCCGTAAATGAATTTTCTTATTTTATGAAATATTTTGTTTGCTCAGTTTTATTTTGGAATGTTTTAAGAGTCTAGTTTACTGAAAGTAAGCTGAAATTTCCAAGCACTTGCCTTTATATTTCTTATCTTTTTGTTACAAAAGATTTTTTTCTTTTAAAGAGATACTCATTTTATCAGATTTCTAACTCCTCTAAGTTGCCTTTTAGATGTAGGTTAGAAAGGAAAATTATTTTTTTAAGTGTTAAGATTACAAAAGATGAACAACTGAGATATGAACCATAAGTTTTTTTTAAGAATAGATTATTATTATTTTTTGCTTTTTTTTATTACAAAAGTTTATTTTTGCATCATTTTGTACATTTTTTTTCCCACCTCAATTGTAATCCCCGCAGGTTTCCCATCATGTCACCCATGTGCCATCACCATAATCCCGTGCATTTCCCTCCCCTCACCCCATTTTTGATCCCATTCCCCACTCCACCCCCACAAAATGTCTCTGGTATATGGTTGTTCATAATTTTTGTTGTTTTCCACCTGGTCTATTATACTCCTGCTATGAGTGAAACCATCCGGTATTTTTCTTTCTCTTTCTGGCTTATCTCACTAAGCATGATCTTAATAATAGATTATTTTATTTTTATTTTTTTAATTTTTATTTATTTACTTATTTTTATTATTATTATTTTTTATTTTTTTTAAAAAATGTATTTGTACATACAGAACTGGGGTACAGGCCAGAGGCTCAGGGGCGGTGAGAGGCTTCACCAGAGACAGAGTAGGGAACAGAAAAGGCGGATTGACAAAGTACACTGCTGAGGGGAGCAGCGGGCGGGTCAGGAGAGGTCTGCCACACCATGTGGTCACCTCCGGGGCAGGCGGGAATCGAACTCATGCAGAAGTGGTTTCAGCTTCTTAGTGCAGTGCTTTAACCCCGCTGCGCCACCAGGGAGGGCCAATAACAGATTATTTTTAAAAGTAGTTTTAGGGCCCTCCCTGGTGGGCGCAGCGGGTTAAAGCACAGCACTGAGAATCTAAAGCCACTTCCTCATGAGTTGATTCCCCCCTGCCCCCGGAGGTGACCACATGGCGTGGCAGACCTCTCCTGACCCGCCCGCTGCTCCCCTCAGCAGTGTACTTCCTTGATCTGTCTGTTCTGCTCCCTGCTCTGTCTATGGTGAAGCCTCTCACAGCCCCTGAGCCTCTGGTCTGTATCCCAATTCTGTATGCACAAATAAATAAATTAAAAAAAAGAAAGTAGTTTTAGGTTTATAACACAAGTGAGCAGAAATATTGCAAGGCCCTCCAGGAAGGATCATAGTCTAGCCTAAAATCAATACCCTGTAACAGAAAGGTTAGCACTGTTAACAACCCAGGAACCTACAATGACATATCATCAAAGTCCATAGATTAACACTGCTTGCTCTCAGTGTTGTGCATTCTATGGGTTATTATACATTCTATTCAAAGGTATAAAATGCTCACCATTATACTAGCAGACAGATACTATTCCATCATTCTAAAATATCCTGTGCTCTATTAGTTCCTCTTTTATCCCTAACTCTTGACATCTACTAATCTTTTCACTTGTCTTCAAGGTTTTGCTTTTCCATAATCTCATACAGTTGAAACCATATAGTATGCTGTCTCTTTAGGTTGGCTTGTTGACTTAGCAATATGCATTTTAGGCTACTCCATGTCTTTTCATTTCTGTTCTTAACAACCAAAATTTTTCCTTATGATACGGGACAAAATACTATAATTAGCAAATTTTTTTTTTAAAGCTGATGCATTTTATTTATTTTTGAATAGAAGAATTAGGGTGTAGGCTAAAGGTGTGCAAAGGGGTGTTGAAAGGATTCACCAGTGAGAGTGGGGAGCAGAACAGGCAGATTTACTGAAATACACTGCTGAGGGTAACAGCAGGGCAAGACAGGAAAGGTCTGCTGTGGGTTACTTCCCTGGCAGGAGATCAAACTCAGACCACAGAAGTAGACAGCACTGAGACTTAACCCCTAGGCCACCAGAGAGGCCCTAATTTAGAAATTTTAGATATTACTGAGGAACCTTAAGAATCTTATAGTCTGGTAATCATCTGAGTGACACAATAGCCTGAAAAAATCCCTTCCCATCCTACAACAGAATATGTAATTCTTATCATAATACCAAATAACACTTATTCTGAGTGCTGGGTAAACAGAAAATGCTGACTTGAATGGAGTCCTTTTTTTTTTAAAAAGATTTATTTATGCATATAGAACTGGGGTACAGGCCAGAGGTGCAGGGGTGATGAGAGGACTCACCAAAGACAGAGCCGGGAGCAGAACAGGCAGATTGACGAAGTACACTGCTTAGGGGAGCAGTGGGTGGGTCAGAAAAGGTCTGTCGCACCATGTGGGTCAGCTCCAGAGCAGGCGGGGATTGAACTCGTGCTGAAGTAGCTTTAGTTTCTGAGTGCTGTATTGTGCTTTAACCCGCTGCACCAAAAGGGAGGGCCCTGAATGGAGTCTCTAAAGGCCCCATATTTTTTGTTCAGGCAATCAAACTATCTTCCAATGCAGATAAAAATTTTAAGTACCACTGAGGTATTTGCCAAATCTCCTTAGTTACACATCCATAGAACATTAATTAAAACATTTGCATTTATAGATATTCAGTATTTATTAAAATCTATTAATTCTAGGTAAGCCTGCTTACCTGCCTTATTTATACTTAAATTTGCAGCAGTATAGGACCAGTTTAGTAAGTGTGAGCATGTGTGCACATATATACCCCACCCCAATCATTTTGCAGCCTTCAGAAATGCGTGATTTTTTTCTTGTTTATTGATTTCCAAAGATGTTTGTGATATGGAATAATGTCCATAACATATTACACATGTTCTTGATCAGTCATCTCCTTTTGGGCATTCGGGGTTCATTCCACACATTAGTTATAAGTACTGCTGCAATAAACATAGGGGTGCATTAATCCTTTTGAATTAATGTTTTTGTCCTTTGGGTTGATCCCTAGGAGTGGAATTGCTGGGTCATAGGGTAGCTCCATATGGTAGCTGAGGAACTTCCACACAGCTTTCCACAGTAGTTGGCCAGTTTGAATTCTCACCAACAGTGTAGGAGAGTTCCTTTTCCGCCACATCCTTGTCACTTGTTGCTGCTAGTTTTTTTTAAATATGTGGCATTCTCACTGGTATAAATTGGAATCTCACTGTGGTTTTGACTTGGATTTCCTTGATTATGAGGGATACTAACCATTTTTAATATGCCTGAGGGCTATTTGCATTTCCTCTTTGGATAAGTGTCTTTTAAGTTCTTCTATTTTCTTGTCCTGGTTTTCTACTTTCTTTTTGTTGAGTAGTATGAGTTTTTTTTGTAGGTCTTGTAATCAATCCTTTATCAGATTTTCTCCCAATCAGTAGGGTGTAGTTGTTTTGGTTAAAGTCTCTTTTGCTATACAAAACTTTTTAGTTTGATGTAATCCTAGCTGTTTATCTTTTTCTTCACTTCTCTGCTTTGTAGAGTGAGTCCTTAAAGATGTCACTGTGATGTAGGTCATATAGTGTTTTACCTATATTTTCTTCTATATATTTTATGGTTTCAGTTCTTATGTTCAGTTCTTCTATTCATTTTAAATTGATTTTTGTGCAATGTGTGAGGTAGCGGTCTAGCTTCATTTTTTTTTTTTTTTTGCATGTAGCAGTCTAGTTTTCCTAGCACCATTTATTGAACAAACTGCCCTTGCCCCAATGCATATCTTTGGTTCTTTGTCAAATACTAGTTGCCCATATGTGTGGCTTTATGTCTGGGCTTTCTATTCAGTTCCATTGGTCTTTGGGTCTGTTTTTGCTCCAGAACCATACTGCTTTAATTATCACAGCTTTGTATTGTAGTTAGAAGTCTGGAAGTGTGATGCCACTATTCTCCTTTGTTTTAGTCAGGGGCAGAAGAGCTTAGGCTATTTCCTTTTTCTTTCTTTTTTTGTTATTCCACACAATTTCATCAGTATTGGTTCTATTTCCTTGAAGAGTGTCATTGAAATATTTATTGAAGTGTTGAATCTGTAATTTGCTTT